AAACGACTTGAATAGTCTAGAACACCACTATGATACAAGGAATAAAGAAAATATTTCAATAATACCCAAAGTCTCTAAAACGGGAACTCAAAGAAGCTATTTCTATTTAGGACCTAGGTTATACAATATAATTCCACCACCCTTTAAACAATTAAATTCTATAAAGATGTTTAAAAAAAAAGTTAAAAATTGGATATTCTCAAAAAATAGGAATGAGATACATAGTTGGATAGACCTAAAAAATCTATAGTACGATAAATCCGAGAACTGAAATTAAATAAATAAATAATTAAATAATGAAAAGGTCTAAACTGAATAACTAAATACATACACAAATAATAAATAAAGCTTACCTTAATAGAGTTATCATCTGGATAACTTCTTTTAGTTGTTACTTTGTTTCTTCATTTTAACCTCAAAATTTGTAAAACTTGTAAATGTGTACATAGCAATGTAAGGAAAGATTGTTTAAGTTAATTTTTGAAAATATAAAAACTATTTTTAAATAATAAATTTGGCATTGTGGGTTGCAGATATTTTAACAAGCTGTGCTTTTAAATATCTGTCACCTCAATTGTACAAATAGCGTTGCCACGAGTTAAGAGTTCATTTTAAATGTAGGTATACCTATTGTTTTACTGTGCACAAGTGTTTAACACTTAGCATATTTTTTTCTTTATTCATAACAAATATTATATTGTATTTAATTTAATTGCATTATTTGAATAAAATGAATCATCAAAATCAAATATGATTTCTTTAATTTTTTCATAATTGCGTAAAAAAGGCAGCTTTAAGCCAGATACCCCACCGAGTAATCACAGGTTCCGGTGGCATCTGTAATTCAAGAAATTTTTCTTTGTACAATTGAGTTCTTAGAGGAGCTTTAAGAAATATTTTTTTTACATTACTAATTAAATCATTTATTAAAGGAAAGTTAGACCTAATTTATTTTGCAACTCTATTAAGGCCATGAGCCAAACATGTAACATGGACTAAGTTTTCATAAAACATTTTTAAATTTTGTGCGGCTTTTACCATGTACGGGGCAGCATCGGATAGCAGCAATAAACATTTTTCTGTTGGAACGGCTTCCGGGAGAAAAAAGGAAGACAATTCTGTCTGGATAAAACGAGTTATTGTCAAGTTATTTGTTTTATCTAATTGCTTTGAAGCGATTAGATATGGACCAATTTGCATTTCTTCGCGTAATGAACCTATCATTAAATGGGTTATATATCGACCACAAGAGTCTGTTGTTTCATCCACAATAATGTAGAAATGGTTTCCAACGGTAATCTTACGAATTTTTTCACGAATCTCAATGTACAAACTGGGCCCCATGATATGGAAATGCTTACGTACTTGGCAATGACTAGTCAGAATACCTGTGACTAGGCGCAGATTCTGTCTCGTCATAGTCAAGTATTTGTTTGCTGCAGTGTTGTCAGGATAACTTAAGAGCTCCCTGGTAACTCTGCAGTTTCTTGTTTCATCCCATCTTTTCTTGAATTTCACAAGGGAATGTTCTTTGATTAGGGCTGTCACTACCGATTTTGTCAGGCCAATAGAAAGGCCAGGTCCAAAAAGTATTTGATTGGCTGCTTTCTTGGCTAGTGAATCAGCAAGACGGTTACCTTTCGATGTGGCGTGACCTTTAATCCATCTTAAGGTGACCACGTTGTTGATGGATACTTCGGTCAAAGCTTCGTGACATTCTAGTACTAACTCTGAATAAATTCGTGGCCTGTTCATGGTGAGTAGTGCTTGTCTGCTATCTGTATGAGCATGTTTCTTCCAGTGATATTGTTTCTGGTTATTTCTTTTGCTGCTATGAGAATCCCCGTTAGCTCTGTTTGAGCTACACTGGCACTATTGCTGACAGCCCATTTTATGTTTAGGTTTAAGAATCTGGAGTTTATTCCACATCCTGAGCCTTGTTTTGTTTTAGAACCGTCGGTGTAGATATGAATCGTACCTGCCACTTCTGGCTCTTCTATTTATTCTATTATAACTTTATATTTATTTATGTATTTATTTTTTTTTATTTATTTATTTATTTATTTATTTATTTATTTATTTATTTATTTATTTATTTATTTATTTATTTATTTATTTATTTATTTATTTATTTATTTATTTATTTATTTATTTATTTATTTATTTATTTATTTATTTATTTATTTATTTATTTATTTATTTATTTATTTATTTATTTATTTATTTATTTATTTATTTATTTATTTATTTATTTATTTATTTATTTAAGTATTTATTTATTTATTTATTTATTTATTTCTTTTTTATTTGAATATCCGTTTTTCATTGAGCGCGGTGTGTATCTCTCACTTCTGAATAATAAGTATCACATTTCAACATGTACCAGTCATATATCTACCGTACCAGTGCAGTGATTGCATTTTAAAATAAGTTTCTGCTGGCAACACCGTACAGTAAATTTGTACCTTTTGTGAAGTACATAGGTTTTTAATTCGAATTGTTTAATTCTTGTTCTGAAATTTAAATGCTTTGAATCGAAACCTTTTGTAACATTGAATCAAGTACGCGATAGTCGGTTTTAAGAGCATATCATACTTACAATAAACGTAAGAGCTTTCTTGAATTAATTAACAATTCTAGACTCGAATGAAATTATTTCTTCTCAGATTAATTATTACAAATCTTAAAATACAATATTAAGTATGCCTACACTTCTCTCAACATTTATCTTCTTATTGAATTGAGAAATATTATTTGAAGCAAACTCTTCTTTATTTCAAACAAATGTAATCTTCCAAGTGTAAAGCTTTCCTTGAATGTAGATGATAATTTTTTTCTGTGTGTAAGTGAATGTATTTTTTTTTTAAATCGAATGTGGCCATTTTTAAAACAGGCAAAATATGACAAAACAAATATCCCAGAAAAATACAATGTAAAAAATTACAAAACAAAACAATACAGATTTAAGAAAGAAAAAAACAGACTATTTAAAACGATAAAATAATCACAAAAGCAAATGTTTTATGTTCAAAATTCTAATGTTCACCTCAGAGTTAATGCAATTACTATATGTGATATGATGCTTACAGGCGCCGAGAAAAATAATAAAATGGCTTTTGTATTATGAAACCATTAGGATGTTGGCAAATTAAAGTCACCTAAGATGCAAATACAGGGTGTTATTGAAATACACGTACATATTAAAATGGGGAATAGTATGTAATGACCAAAAACGACTGGCACCAATTTTAACTTAAAATTCTAAAATTTAAATATTGGGGAAGAGTCCCCTTTTCCGACCTACTAGTTTCCATATTTAAAGAAGTAAAATAAATCGAAATTGAACTTACCCATAGAAATTGCACTGTTGCCGTAGCAAAACCAATTAATTCAAAATAAAGTTTATTACAGTAATTGTTCAAAATGCCGTCCATTATTATTTACACACACTTGCAATCGTCTTTCCAAAGAACTTTGAACATTAGAAATTAGTCTTGGATTTTGTCGTAGTTCCTCGGCTACCGCATTAACTTTATTGGTTAATTGTTCAACACTATTAATAGGTTTATTATAAACCAGTTGTTTCATGTGACCCCACAAAAAAAATCGCATGGATTTAAGTCCGGAGATCTCGGAGGCCACTTAGTAGGTCCATTTCTGCCTATCCACTTTTGAGGAAATCTAATGTTCAAAAACTGCCGTACGTTTAAATCAAAGTGAGGAGGAGCGCCATCTAGTAGGTACCACATCCGTTGCCTTAATTGTAACGGTATCTCTTCTAGGAGTACTGGCAAAATATCTTCTAAAAAGTGGAGATATCCTGGCCCATTTAATCTGTTCGGGAGAACATAAGGCCCGATTAAATACTGATCTATTATGCCAGCCCAAACATTTATTGAAAATTTTCTTTGATGTCCATTTTCCCTAATGACGTGAGGATTTTCATCACTCCAAATATGCGTATTGTGCATATTGAACACGCCATCACGAGTGAATGAAGCCTCGTCAGTATACAATAATATTTTTAGAAAATCAGGAATATCAACACATTTTTGAATCATCAATTCACAAAACTCCACTCTCTTTTCTTCATCACCTGGATATAAGGCCTGGACTTTTTGGATGTGATAAGGATGTAAACCTTGTTCTTTAAGTGTCCGCCACACAACAAATGAGGACACTCCAATTTCAAGACCTAGTCTTCTACAACTCAATTGAGGCCGGTTTTCAACAGCTTCCAATATTTCTTCTTCGGCCGCCAATGTTCTTTGTGTTCTTGTTCTCCCTCGATCTGCATTGACACTCTCAAATTTTCCATGGTCTCTTAGATGCTGAACAGTTGAAATAAACGTACGACAGTCCGGAATTCTCCGATTTGGAAACCGTTCGCGATACAGGATTTGTGCTTGCCGAGAATTTTCTCCAGCTGCCCCATAAACCAGCACTATATCCGTTAGTTCAATATTCGTAAATAGTGGCATCGTAAAAAAATATTTAAAAGTAATCGTAACAACACTGTTAGCCAGATTCGTAAATCAACTAAAATTTTAATAATCTATAGTTTCAAAAATGTATAGTTTAAAAACAATCATTTATCAAATATTCTAGTTTTTTGATAACGAGGGTAGTAAAAACCAGTCTTCGGAAATAGAAATTAATTCGAAAATCTTGGCAACATGGTTATTTCTTACAAGACTAGTTTTCTTATCATCTGACAAAAACTTGCATATTAATTACTGTTGATGTTTAAAATAGGTAAATAAACCTAATTTATATAGGTCATCCTCAACATATCAGTGAAGTACGTTTGTTTTAGAATTAATTTTCAAAAATTAATAACTCCCTTAATAAGGGGTATTTTTAAATAATAATATTTTTCTACATTCAGTGGGGATCTGCGCAATACCCAGTTTTAATATGTACGTGTATTTCAATAACACCCTGTATATTCATTAGGATGTTGACATTTTTTTTTAGTTATAATTAAAATGGATTAAAACCAAAAAACGATTTTTATTTCATAAAAGTAACATGTTTATAAGTATCAATTTTTGTTTACTCAATCAAGTTCCATATATTCATGTATACATCTGTATTGATCAGCGGTTATTTTTTTAATAATTTCTAAATACTTTTGAGTGCCCCTTGTATCAATTTCTTCTGTACATTTAGGCTTGAAAACAGTACACAGCGGTATACTTTTTGGAGTACAATATTTTCTTTCCAATGTAACGTTATTCAATAAAGCCCACTGATTTATAACATCAGAACAGGCACAAGTCCATGGATTAAAATCTATATATAAATGTTTTGAATACAGTTTGTTTAACAATGCTTGGGGTATAAAATTTAAGTGATTTAGATCGATATACAAGTATTCTATGCGTGTTGGGTTCGGAAAACTATTGGCATTTAGGTGTGCTATTTTATTATTTCTCAGATCTAACATAATGAGTTTATTCAACGATTCAAATGCTTCTGGTTCGATATTTGTAATTTGATTATTTAGCAAACCTAAATCTGTCAAATTAGGAAAATTCGAAAAAGCTCTTCTCTGCACGGTGCTTAAGTGATTGTTTTCGAATTGAAGTTCTTCTAGTTTGTATAATTTTCCCAACCACTCCTGATTCCATTGGTACAAATTATTTCCGCAAATACATATCCATCGCAGTTGAGGTATGTGAAAAGCATGTTCTTCAATATAGGTGATTCCATTATGGCCTAACCACATGGTGTCTAAGTTGGGAATTGAATTTAAAGCACCTAAAAATTCGTATTCAATTTATTAAAATTGTAAAGTATAATAATGGATTCAAAGTTTTGAGACATATGAAATTCTTTGTTTCCTCCCCACCCTTTCTGTTTATGTATGTGATGAAGGAAATAAAGTATTCTTTTGTATTTTATATACAAGTTCTTTACTTTTCTTTTTATTGTGTGCTCTTTAAAGAAGTCTAGCATCAAGTGCAATACACATATTATTTGCTGAATTGGCATAAGAAATCTGAGTATCTTAAACATACTGTGTCTCTGGCGCGCTATGATGAGTGAGCTCAGACGAGCGTGAGGATTTTGCGAATGCATGTAGCTAAAAAGAGATGCCAACACGCTAACAGATCCGTGAAATTACATAAAAACACATTACATTGGGCGCTGCTCACAAACAAGGGTTGACGTCATAAAATAGGGCAGGGCATACGAACATTGCCAAAATAGTGTTGCCAGTCTAGTACATTTTACAATTGTACTAAATGTAGTACATGCATAAAGAATCTGGTACTCTAGGACACTCGAAGCAAAATTGTGCTCATTTAAAAAAATGTATGTGTGTCAATTCAACGGTTGTTTCCGAAAGACATCTTTAAGGCAAGGTAAATAAAAGTATTTTTGAGGTTATGTTGTTTTATTTACCTATAATTTAGTTTTACGACTCTAATTTATGTTTTATATTTTTTTTTAGTGGCGTAAGATCATATTTTGTATCCAACTGTAAGTAAAAATTATGAAATAAAAAGTAAGCAAAAATTTGTTAATTTTTTGTGTTTCCCACAAATGCATCTGAAAGAAAAAAATGGATAAATAAATAAATATTGAAACGTACAATAAACGTTGGATATAGGAGATAAGATAAAGAGACAAATGGTTTTTCACTTTACCAATGTCAATCGGAAAAATTGTGGCTTTCCATATAGAATAATCGTTTGTCAACTCACTAAGCTACTCACAAATAGATTCATTTTTGATTCGTGTTATCTCTCTTTTTAACTGCTGGATGGCGCTGTTGGGTTTAGTTTTATCTGATGGAGCTCAGGTCTGATGCCATTTCCTCCTTAGTTTTCTTTAGGATAGTTATTTCCTGTTGTTCTCTACATAATAGGTAGCGTATTATCCCATGATGCTTGTTGTATGTTAGACACAAGTAGTTCTACTTCTTCATTTAGCTGTGCGTGTGTTCTTAATTGAACTGAAAGATTGATTTTATTTTCAAGTCTGTCTGTCTGAAGCTTTACCAGTCTGTTCTTCTATTTATTAGTCTAGGAGCGCTTTCCTTTTGGATAATGGTGTCACTAAGAGTGAGAAGAATGGGCAAATGATCTGAATGCATGTCCCATGCCTCATCAACTTGGATGTATTTTGTTGAAATATTTCGTACAACAAAAAAGTCTATTAGGTCGGGTATTTTGTTTCTATCTGTGGGCCAATAAGTTAGCTTGCCAGTTGAATGCAACTCACATTTTAACTGTGTCATTACTTCGTTTAGGTTTTTACCCTTAGTTGTTGTTAGTCTGGAGCTCCAATGGGCGTGTTTGGCGTTAAAGTCGCCTCCAATGATAAATCTAGGTTTTTGACTATTGAGGAAATCTAGGTATTGTTCTCTTTTAACGGTATGTCTTGGAGGACAATATACAGAAGTGACCATAAAATCAGAAGTTTTAAATTTGATCATTACTGAAGTAGCCTGAAATTCTTCAGTCCTGTTTTCCGGTTCTTGATGATGCTTAATTGCTATCTTGTTGCATTTCGGGGATGAATGGTATGATAAACCTTATATCCCTTAAATTTAATAAAGGACTCATTGGTAAAGTGAGTCTCTTAAATAAGCATATGTGTTTGCCTTATATATCTAGGATCTTAGGTATAGCTCCTTTGCTACTATATTGTAACCTAGTAATTCGTTTATCCGTTTTGTTCAGCTTTTCCAGTATTTGGTGGAGAGTATTGGTAATGGATGAATCTTGTTTGTTATCTATTTCTTCTCTTTTACCAGATACTGGCTGGCTGAATAATCTAGATTTGTCTATTAAATTGTTTCTATTAATAGGCTTATTATGGATTACTCGCTGTGGCTGTTTAGGTAAGTTTGGTTTTTTGTTGTGCTATTATTTTTGATGTCCTCATAATGAGAAACTTTGCATTGTATTACCTAAGAAATGGTATGTACATTTGAATAGTTTATATAAAGTTATGTCTGCCGGAAAGTCTCAATTGTACAATGCGAGTTGAACCTCGGTTTAGCATGAACCTGGTTCTTGGCGTTGTACAATACTAGTTCAGAACATAAACTGCGTTCATCTATAGGTTCAACAAAGCGGTCATGTTTCCGTGCTTAAACCGAGTTCAGACCTATTTTTGAATTTAATTAGTTTGTAACACACTACAACATTTTTTTTTGGGTTGGTACCTTATACGTTACCGTACACAAACCGTACATCGTAGCAGGGTTGCCAACCGTACGGTAATTACCGTACTTGTACTTGCACAAAAAAACTATAGGGAACAGGGGCGACTCTGAAAAAAAATACGATGTCATTTATGGTAGGATTAGGGTGGTTTTTACCCTTCCATAATTTCAGTTGGTGTATTTTTTGCTTTGAACAATGGCTCTTCAATTAAAATTTTCTTCCAACTTTGAAGCTTCCTCACAGGCAAACGATGGACTTTGTGATATAGGTAATTTTGGCTCAATCGACTTATTTTGATCTCACCAACATACAGTAGATCTATGTACACGGAATTTTGGGACACCCTGTATATGTATATTTTATAATAATCTCAAAATATGAAGAAGTCAGTTGACTAACTAATAATTTTTAGAGATGGTTTTCAACATATTAAAAACAAAACAAATATTACAATAACAAAATATTCATTTATTTTAACTAACTAATAATGTTTATAGATGGTTTTTAACATATTAAAAACAAAACAAATATTACAATAACAAAATCTTAATTTATTCGTTTATCAATAGTTGTAGTACTTAAAAACTATGATTTTGATGATAATAATAACTACTTTTAATACCAACTCCAATAATAAAAAAAAAACAGCGATATTGGCTCTTGTACAAAATTTTGAACCAAACTTAAAAATGATAAAAATTATTGGAGAAACTGAACACTCATTTTAAATTACTACGAACCGCCACTGATCTCTGGTATACGAGTACAACAAGTAGAGTACTGGACTTAATACACTACCTTGAGATATTCCTGCCTTGAGTTCTCTTAGATCAGATTAGGCTTGTTTTAGTTGTATTCCGAAATGCATTTCTGATCAATAGGATTTCAGTAGTTTTGAGTATTAACGTGGCAGAATATTCAGTTTATGAATTAGGCTATGTTAAAAGTGCGAACATTTTTTTAATGTAATCTGAATTATAAAACTCACCTCTTAATATAGTCGGAATGTCATTGCCTTTTATTGTCAAATGCTGTAAATTGGGTAAATTTCTAAAGGCTCCTGGTAAAATATTCTGAATCCCACTTGATTGTATTACGATTTCATACAGCTCCTCATGATTCTCAATAAAATGTACAGGAATGGAAGGAATTACCTCATTTTTTATAAATATACTACGTACTTTTCTGTAATTAAAATTGGCAGGATATAAACAATCTGTAAACGATTGGATGTTTTTCGATTGAAAAACATCGATATATGTTACCGAAAAACGTGTTAAATTACAGTATTGAGCTGATACTATAAGAAATGATAATAATATGGAATAATTAAAGAGTAAGGCTTTCATTTCTGATCGAATTATCACTACAGATTGTACCGTTTATATATATTTTAAATGTAGAATACCCAGAGTCAATGGTTTATCGCATTGTACTGATATAAGTACTTTTATTATTTGTTTTTTCCAGTGGTGGTTCCTTTTTGTAGTACATATTTATTAAGTAAAATATTAGTTAAAAAAATTATTTGCTCCCTAAGCGACTTATTTCACCATCAAGCATTTTTTGTTCAGTAGTTATATTCCATCCAACATTGTATTTTAATATTAATTTGATGAGACATAATTTTTGGCATTAATTAATTGATTATTAACGCCAAAAATTATGTACAATCAAATTATAAAATGAAATTTAGCAACAACAAAAATAACAGAATAATAATCAAGGTCGTATTACATTTGGAGCGACTATTTCACTAGAACAAATATTGACTATTTCTCTAGAGAGATAGTCACCGCTATTTATTTTATTTTTTGGTAAAAGTCTATTAAGTAGTTACAACTAATAATTGTATTATTTAGTGGACATATTTTCTATTTAAATTTTGTTTCAAATTTAACATGACCTTCTATATCAATTCTTCAATGACGGTTTCTAATATAACATTAACTAGTCTTCTCTACATTATATACAGGGTGGGCCACTTAAAAAAGTTCCACCCCTCTTATCTTCGTTGTTCATTGAGATATCGGAATAATTTTTTTTTTTGTTTGAAAGACTGGAACAAATATTTTCTTAGGATGAATTTAATTATTCTGTGACGTCATGGCTTACTTCCGTTTTTTCCGGAAATAACAGAAAATCGCAATTTATTTTTTATTTTTAAATGGAAATCCACAATCAATGATGGTAGAGCCCAAGGGGTAAACCGCTATGGTCAAAACTTATTATTATAGCAGTGGCGGCTGGTGGAAATTTAAAAAGGGTGCTCAATTTTTTCCTATAATTTTATGTTTTAAAACGTAATTCATGATAATTTCATAACAAATTGTGTAACTGGCATGTCTAGGAAATTATAATTTGGATTCAATGTGCATTTACTGATGTTTTAGTAGTATATCAAATGTTTACATGCTAATAAATAAGATTGCAACAGAAAATAAAGACCTGAAGAAACGCAAAAAAATTAGCAACAATACCGCCGAAATACTTACTAGAGAAGATTATTTATTACAGTTGAAGAAACAGAGCGTTGAAAAGAAAAATGTTACAAAAAAGAAACTCGATGAACAAGATTCAGAGAGCGAAATAGAAACTGAAGTTGAAGAAATAGAACACAAAATATCAAGCAGAAGCGACACCGATAAAACTCTAACTCTTAAATATTTAGTAGAAAATGAACAAAAGGAGTTAAATTAGGAAAAGGAACAGGAAAACCCTAATGACGTAAAGGAGGGTAGCTGGGCCCTAGTTGATTATAAAACAACTAAAATTACGAAAGGGTATGTTGGACTTATATTGGAAGTTTCTGCAGAAGAAGATAAGCTATTGGTTAAGTTTTTACGAAAAAAAGAGAAATAATGTATTTGTTTGGCCAATTTCTGATGATATAGATAGTGTGTCCACTTCCAAAACCCACTGAGGGAAGACGAAATGAAAAGATCTTTTCAGTGAAGTAAGATGACATTCTAAATTATACTCTTCAGAATCAATAAGCTTCATCCCCTTATTGAACTTGATTTTTTCCAAAAATTTAAAGTTAATATTATTGTTCATTTTTGAGTTAGAATTTTTTTAAATATTTCAACCTCCCTTCCCCCTACTTTTATTCAAATTTTTTTCACAATCAATAGGTCTGATCTCCTTATATAGCTTGATTTTTAGTAAAAAATTCATGTTGATTTCGCTTTTCATTTTTGATTTATGATTTTATTTTAATTTCAACCCCCCTTAAATCCCCATTTTTAATCAGATTTTTTTTTTCAAAATCACAAGGGTTTCTTCTATCATTTTTCGTTTTTGACTTATCGTCGTGCAGACAAAACACGTGACATCGGACAAAGTAAATCTATAATACTCTTCACAGACTACTGTGTGTAGAGTATAATAATAATAATAATAATATAATCAAGGCTAAAACAATAACATAATTGACTAAAAAAATAGGAACAATAAAAAAATGATAAAGTCAAAGTTTTGAAAATTATCTAATAAGTAATCAGTGCCTCGGAGACTATGTTTTTATGCCACCACTAGTACCAAAGTCACCGCTAGTTGGCACCACCTGTCAGTGGTGAATAATTGAAACTCGGCTAAGTGGTTTGCGACTCGGCTAAGCGATCCAAGATGGCGTCCATCGTTTACGTGAACGTATATAAATTATCGTTGAATTGAAAAATCTTGCGTAGTGACAGGCCCAAAGGACCTAAATCTTATATTTCCGTTATTATTGGTCCGACTAAAATGAGAAAAATGGGGAATTAAATCTATATTAAAGGCGAACAGAAAAATCATGAGTAGAACGAAAGCCAGAAGGGCCTAAGTTTCAATGTCCGTTAATAATGGTCCGATTCAAACGGGAAAAACGGAGGAGTTCGGGAATTAAATCTCTAGTAACGTCGAATAGAAAAATCCTGCGAAGTAGCAATGCCAAATGGACCTAAGCGTGTATCTCGAATATTATTGGTCAGATTCAAACGGAAAAAACGGTATTATGTAGAGAACACGAGAACGTTGAAGATAAAAATCCTGCGCATTATCAAAAGGGCCTAAGTCTGTATCTTAGCTATTATTAGTCTGATAAACGGAAAAACTAGGACTGAGAGGAAATTACATGTAGATTAACGTTAAAGAGAACAAACATACACAATGACAATGTCAAAAGGCTTAAGTCTAGATTTCAGCTAGTATTGCTCCAATTCTAATTAGAAAAACAGTATTATGCAGACGTGTCGTACAGGGACATACACGGACATACTGTCATCTGTCAACTGCAACCTAAACTAAGTGTCATACGAAAAGTCATCCTTGTTCAAATAAAATATAAATAAAATTGTTATACTTATGAAATACCTTCTGGTACAATGATTTTTTTTGGCTGGCAACTGCAATCTAAAGTTAAGTAGTTTATATCATTGCCATAAGAGCCCGTTTCTTGATGGAACTCAGTCATCGCTTAATTTTGATGGTTTTTCTATAAAAGAGTCCCTATCACATTCTATCCATTTACGCAGTTTTCTGTTTTAGAGTTGGGTATAAAACACACGACTATTTTGTAGAAACTGGAACAAAACAAATTATAAACATAACTTCAAAAGCAATAGTAACTGTTTTAACTAGAGCTTGAAGGCGTGTTTCATTAAAAATCAATGAATTGACACACATACTTCCGATTTATTAAATTCGCAGTTTCATTTATGTCTGTCCAACGACTGGCGATAACGGAACATGAGCAGGGCCGGAATGTTCGAAAATGGTATTTAACCACATTATAAGATTTCGAAAGTTGTATAATGTACATTGTATAGCAATTCTTACAATCTGTTTTTACTACTTGGACAGTATTCTTATACAGTATTACATTTTTACAGACAACCCGAGTTAAAAAAAAAGGAATATAAGTTCAATATAAATAGAGACTCTAAGACTGATATGGCTAATATTTGTATTTATTGCATAAATGCGAAATATAATAAATAATATCGTGGAGCAAATGAGGCCAACGGAGAATTATAGAGAAAAAATACAGTGACATTTATAATCCATTTAGCAAATATATTTCCCAATTGCAAACAATCGATATCCGAGGAGACAACGTTGTTCTTTCATAGGTTGAGAGTTATCACCTCGTTTAACTTAAAACCTCCGTCATAAATTCTTGAAAAAGTAGGTCTATATATAAGGACGCTTCGAAAATAAAAGCAGACATTTCTCTCTCCACACGTTCCCATTCTTCCTTTTCTCATCCTAAAAGCAATAAACGCGACATTATCCTGAACCCCTCAACTCTATAAAATATTCATAAACACAGGCCAGAGAAGTTTGAATAAATTAGCTGTTCTTTATCTCTTATCTCCTTGAGTGTCAAAATTCTCGACTTGGGCAGTTAACACAGGTTGCGTTTAGAAATATTGGGTTAATCTTTTCGTCATTATTATACTTTATTTTTTTACTAAAAAATTAAAGCTCTGAATACGAATTGAACTGCTTAATATTTTTGTTTGAACGATGGTGTCAAAAGATCATTATGCTATAATCAAATAATAAGCTACTATACAGGGGCGGTTTCTCCATTAGTTAATTTGTGCAGTGAACACCCATTATTTTAAAATAAATACCATAAAAATAATAATTCAATTTGTAGCGGACGCCTTCCAGTGGCTCCCCTAGTTAGTATGCAACCCGTTATACACCTCATTGAGGGCTTTACGCTAGCCCGTCACTTCCGGACACTAGATGGTGCCATCAAAATCTATTACTACATCACATAAGAACGTAACCGTGACTAATACGTACCCGACTTAGATCTGGACAATCTGGAGTCAATATCGATCGAATCATCAAGAAAACGAAAGAGCACATATTTAAGAACGACATATTCATTTATTAATTTTATTCACCTATATTTTATTATATATTTGTGTTTGTATTACAATTTAATTGAATGAATAGTTTCCAATTCTACAAATTCTTCAGCTAAAAAGAAATGTAACACGTTAACAAATCCGTGAAACGTAGTAAAACAAACATACAATCTTTTAAATTAGCTTAATTTGCGCAACGGACAGAGTGACGTCACAAAGTAGGGCGGAGCATACGAAATGTTCAATCATTGATATACAATAAAGAGGATGCTATAACGTTACTTAAAGTGTCCGCACAGTTTTACGTCATATGTCAAACTCGAGCAAATGGAGTTAGGGTGAAAGCACCAATGAACAAACAGTTAAGAGATTTATTGTTTTTACTGTATCTATTTATAGCATTTAAATAAAAATATTTTTTTTCTTTTTATTAGATGATCTAGCATGATGTATTTAGTTGTAATATAACTATGTAGTTGTAAAACAAATAGGACAAC